TAATCATCAAAAACTCATTGAATCTATCAGTGGTATTTTCTAAACGATATTCTTCTAAGAAGAATTTTATTTCTTTTTAACTTTAAGAAGAAAGTTTACGTTCACGGTTGAAAATATGAAGGTAAATACGAGTAAGGAAATTTTAAATAATATTTTTACGAGATCTTTGCTACGTGTGAAGTAGCAAATTGATGAGAAATTGCCAAGGGTAGTTCAACGGATAGCGTACTACGTCTGACTATAGACGACTCGTTCCCCTTTATATTTCCACGCGTTGTTTCTCGTTCCTCGCACGAATTAACAACGTTTTCTTTATTTTACTTAAGCACTGTGCACATAGAGCTATCAAAATAATCGGCAAAATTACCCAACAGCACGTTTTAAAATTTTTAACGATCTGTAAAAAAATCAAGGGTGTGCAAACTCTGTGAAGTAAATTGACCATTAATTTATCGAGACATACACGTTTAACCTTTCTTCTATTTAATTAATTTTTCCAATAATTTACCACGCGTTTTATTTATTCCAAAAATTTGTGAAGAACAAAAATTCTAAAATTTGTATTATAAAATATAAAATTATATCAAATTTGTAACATCCTGGTTGTATGAGAACACGTTTCGTGTATTTTATGACTTACTATACGAGATAAAATATGAAGGATATGAAAGACGAAGGAAGATTAAAAGAATTCAACCAATTTCCGACGAAAGCAGTGGAATAATAATTTAAAAAAGGGAGAGAATTATCTTCTTATTGAAACAGCTCTTAAATCGTTAATCCCCATAATCTTTCATTCCTCTTCGCTCATGGACAGAAGAAATCACGACCGACCACAGACTCCAATACTGATGCAAGAAGTAAGGATTAATAATTGCTGCAAAAAGATTACCTGATTGCGATACAATTTGCTGTTGCAACGAATATATAAAATAATATTTCACAGACGGATTCGAAGACATTTATGGTAGAAATAACACTGTTTAAAATGAGCAAGTGAACAAAATTCGGTTTACACGGTGAACGATTGATGTCAGACCTAGAGCAATAATTTTCAAAAATAATTCACAATAAAATTCACACCAGAAGAGTACATTATTTTTATTTTAGATGACAAGAAGTAAATATAACATGGCTGACATGTCAATAATAATAATAAAAATATGTATAATAATAATAATAAAAAGATGTATAATGATAATAAGAAGAAGAAAAAGATAATAATGCAACTATCTGCTCCATTTTGAAATAAATAATTAAATTAAAAATAAAAATAAATTAAAAATAATAAAAAGATATATAATAATAATACAAATCACTAAACGTTACAGTAGGTTAATCCACAGTGCTATGTACTGTAAATCATGGACATATCGATCGGCTGGAGTGAATCAGAAAATCCGTGTTGCAGAAACTAATTAACCTCGTCGAGTGGGGAATAAACGTCGTTCCTCGCAAAGGAGCTCGATAGAACGCGTCTGGCTTCCTCTCGCGGGTACAATCGCGGTTTCTCGAATCGATACCGCGTTCGTATTCATACGACATCGCGACAATGAAGCGCTTTAGCGAACCGTGGCCAATTTCACGCCAAGATTTTCACTTTTCACGCCGGGATAGCCGTCGCGAGTGATCGACGAGAACGGCTTCTCGCTTCATCGGTTATGGTGATCGAGAATGTTTCGTTATTTCCTTTGTCTCGTAAGGGCGAGTTTTTCGGCTCGTTCTACCGTCCACGATGTTTTGTTACGATGCTGCTTAATTTGCCGTTCGAAGAACTTTCTCGCCATTTTTGCAATGCAGACGTGAAATGCAGGATCGAGAATCTTTGTTTGTATTTCTTGCGTGTGACAAGGTGTGGTCTAGCGATGGGGTTGAGATGCAGAAACTCTTTTGTTTAGGATTTGAACTTGAATTGAAAAGTCGAAATTTGGAATTTTTTGGATTCGGAGTTAAGAGCGTAGAAGCTGGAAAATTTGGTAAATTAGAAATTCGGGTTCAAAGAAATTCGACAATTGAAAGTTTGGTAATTTGGAAATCTGAGAATTTGAAAATTTGGAAATTCTGAAATTTAGAAATTGGGTAATTTGAAAATGTGGAGATTCAGAAATTCAATGACATGCAAATCTGAAAGTTTGGAAATTTGAAAATTCAGAAACTCTGAAATTTAGAAATTGGGTAATTTAAAAATGTGGAAATTCAGAAATCCAATGATATGTGAATCTGAAAATTTGGAAATTCAGAAATTCTGAAATTTAGAAATTGGTTAATTTAAAAATGTGGAAATTCAGAAATCCAATGATATGTAAATCTGAAAATTTGTAACTTTAGAAATTCGATTTCAAAGAAATTTGGCAAATTGGAAATCTGAGAATTTGAAAATTCGGAACATTAGAAATTCAATTTCAAGGAAATTTGGCAAATTGGAAATCTGAGAATTTGAAAATTCGAAAATTCAGAAATTCAGAAATCCAATAACATAAGAATCTAAGCGTTTGGAAATTTGAAAATTCGAAGATACTGCTATTCGGTAATTTAAAAGTTCCAAAATTTGGAATTAAGTAAATGAAAATTCAGGAATATCAAAATTTGAAATTGGGAATTTGAGAGTTCCAAAATTACACAATTACAATTTACTTTGCACTTAAACCTTCATAAAGCCCTGTTCATACGTGAACCTCTACACATTGCACATGAACTTTCAGGAAATAGATACTTCCACTAATCCAAAAATTAGACCGAACTTGAAAAGAACAGAAGAACTCTCGTTCCAATATGAAATACTCGAGTCCTTCTCTCTCGAGGATACTAAAAGTCTTCTTTCCTACCATTACTAAATGAATCTATGTACTTGCACTCGCCTCGAGGGTAATCCCTAATAATCCTAACTTCGCGAGTAGAATAACAACTGAATTTCAGAAACGTGATAGAAACTCGATCTTCCGACTAAAATAGCCTGTTACCTTTTAACGATCGGCTGTAACACGGAATATTCGAGCTCACAATGAAACTTACTTTCTACGGTATTATCAAGAAGGACATTCGGATCATTATCTCGTTTCAAACGTATCCCGTTAAAGCACACAAAAGACCCTACAAAAAATTACTTTCTCGCCCCTGTCGTATAATTCCACCCACAAAAACCGCCATCTCATTTTTGCAACAGATTCTATTGTCATTTGAAACATTCGAAGCCGACGTTGTCTGCAATGCGTTAAAAAATTCCGCGTTAAGAAGTAAATCGCGGAGAAATCCGACCTGAAAAGATAAATTTCAAAAAATTCTCAAGAGATAAAAATAAAGATCCTCGAGGTATTATCATATTTTTGTAGGAGAAAATCTTTCATTTATGGAATAAAGACACAGTGTGTATAAAGTGGACTCCATTTCCTCGAATTCCGGCGGAATTGCACTTATTAAGGCTGTCACCTCGACGAGCAGACAATTCCATACACCTGCACCGCTATTTACGCGTGTGCATTCTGTTTCCACGTTCGACTACTCCTGGCCCACGTTCTTATACATTTCACTGCATTTGCATTTGAACTCTGCTAACTTTCGTTTGTCAGAACGTGAATTTCCTCGCGGCGGAAGTTAAGCGCGGGCTTTACAACTGTGCAGGCTAACCCGCCATTTTGAATCGATAAATTTCGGTTTAGATTAGAGCATAAAATTGTTAGACATTACGTTGGCAGAAGTTTAAGATTGTTTGTGCAAGTATATTGTATAATACGTACGTAGAAATGCTGATTTATTTTCCATGATTTTTTAATATTGATTTGAATAATAATTGATTTTTTAATATTGATTTCAATAATAATTGATTTTTTAATATTGATTTCAATAATAATTGATTTTTTAATATTGATTTCAATAATAATTGATTTTTTAATATTGATTTCAATAATAATTGATTTTTTAATATTGATTTGAATAATTTGTTAATATAAAAAAAATGTATTGTATCGTATACTGTATTATATTGCACATGTATACTATGTTATATGTATATTCTTCGATGTATTATATGTATACTGTATTATACTGCACATGTATACTATATTATATGTATATCCTATGTATTATATCTATACTGTATTATACTGTATTATACTGCACATGTGTATTATATTATATGTATATATTATATGTATTATATGTATACTGTATTATACTGCACGTGTATATTATATTATATGTATATATTATATGTATTATATACTTACTGTATTATACTGCACGTGTATACTATATTATATGTATATTATATATTTTATATGTATTCTGTATTATACTGCACATGTATACTATATTATATGTATATTCTATATATTATATGTATACTATATTATATGTATTATATGTGTACTGTATTATATTGCACAAGCATACTATATTATATTATATGTATTATATGTATACTGTATTATACTGCACGTGTATATTATATTATATGTATTATATGTATACTGTATTGTATTTTTGAAATATTAAATTTAATTTTAATGTACGTAATTTATATTTTAAGTAGTATATACTAATCGTACTTATTTTGATATATAATTATTTTTGTTCTATATGAATGTATATTAAATTTTTTAAGAATGCTAATCATTTCTGACCTGTCTCATTTTTGCTGGTGTTTTAATTTGTTTTTAGAGAATGCAAATCACAATGGTACTATTTAATTTCATTTTAAAATTATTTTAGGATTTCATCGAATTTTTATTATCTCGTATGTATGTGCATACGTAAATTACATTTAAAAATATGCATTCAAAATATAGTTTAATAATTTCTCCTGTCTTTATTTCAAAGTTTCGAAAAGTTTTTAGTCCTAGTCTATTCGTATTCTTATTATTTAAATCTTCCTTTAAAGAATCTCGAAATAGATGACGAAGAGCTTCTTTAACGGCGAATATTCGTTATCGTGACTAGTTACGAAGTCGATTTTTAGAAATATGCATTCGTAATCAAAGAACGTACTGTGTTTCGTTAAATATCTAATGACCACTGCTGGCGAACCATTTTTTCCCTGATTCCTGACCACCCTTCTTTCCGTATTTCTTATCGTATCGATGATGACTGTCCTGACCATCTTCTTGCTTGCGACCCTTCTGCTTGCGATGATGATGGCCCTCCTCGTGCTTCTTCTTCTTACCATGATGATCCTGAATCATTAATTTCATCGTCATAAATATTACTGTACACATTTAACTAATATTCGATTAATATTCAAGTTTGGATTTAATTATCTGCCAAATAATCTACCAAAGAACACAATCCTTTCACTGTCAAGCAATTGATATGAACTTTTCACAGGTTAAAGTTTAAATTTAATTAAATTAATTAAGTTATTAATAATTATTAATCATTTTATTTTATTTTATTTCCACTGTTTAAATTTCTCCAATTTTCAGAACCGAAGCATTTGATCGAAAATTAATTTAAAAACTTTTTCCATTTATCTATATACAATAAATTTATTCAAAGTAAATTTCTACCTTTTATTTTGTGGAATTAATCGATTTGGCAAATGAACGACTAATATGATACCTTTGTATGTTAAATTAATTATTAATTTGTTTATATACCATGATTATTAATTAAAAAAGAATGGAGTTAAATAGTCTTCCATATTTTTCAAGTCTGAATGTAATAAATAACAAAATTTTGTGAAATTGACTCGTGAGAATATGCAGAATGAAACAATTGTAGTATTTCTTGCATGTGACAGGAAAGGTGTTCACGCGTTAAAATATGGAATTTAATTTAAATTCATGTCTAGACTTAGAGTTGTTGGAAGTTATTTAATAGGTTATTGGAACTAATTGAGGGTGAAACAAGGTGTAAATTGGATAATGATTATCGATTCGACGACCAACCTCGTGACGACCAGAGTCCCTGTGTCCCTTTTTCTCGTGGCCACCCTTCTTTCCTTCGTGCTCGTGATGGTATCCGCCATGTTTCTCGTGCTCCCCATCTTCGTGATACTCGTCGTAAAAATCGTGCTTCTTTTCATACTCGTCCTATGAGTTATTTACCTTCTTTCATAATTTTTTAATGAAATTCCCTAGATAGACTGCAGTCATCGTTTCGTGCAATATTTTAAGGATCGAATTTTTCAAATACCGATACTCGAATGGGGAGTACAAGGGAAGTTTCATAAAATCGAAAATTTCTCAGAATAATTTTTATCGAAGATTATTTTTAATTATTGGGTGATTTATATTATTACGAAATTGGTGATTGGATTTTTTCAAATACCGAAACTCGAATGGGGAGTAAAAGGGAAGTTTCATAAAATCGAAAATTTTTCAGAATAATTTTTATCAGAAGATTATTTTTAATTATTGGGAGATTTATATTATTACGAAATTGGTGATTGAATTTTTTCAAATACCGAAACTCGAATGGGAAGTAAAAGGGAAGTTTCATAAAATCGAAAATTTTTCAGAATAATTTTTATCGAAGATTATTTTTAATTATTGGGTGATTTATATTATTACGAAATTGGTGATTGGATTTTTAGACGAACCTTTTTGAAGACACTGTGTTCTCCTTTAGTGCTGTATCCTTTTTGGTGCTTGCCCTCCTCGTCGAATTTCGCGCCTTTCTCGCCTTCCTCGCCCTGATGACTCTCGTCATAGTGATCTGCCTGATCATGCTTCTTTTCCTTTTCTCCCTTCTTCTCGTCGTACCTTTGTTCGTGATCCTCCTTGTCATGGTGACCCTTCTCACCTTTGTCGAACTCGTGGAAGACCTTGTAGCCCTATTTCCGAGTGTACATAATCGATAAATTGAGAAAATTCGAAGGAATTCACGTTGAACATTCTTTGTACCGAATGTAGGGATTTTATATTATATAAATGATAATTGATAAACGAAAATTCGAAAAACCGAGGAATTTTCTTTCAATTAACAACTTAGCAAAATTTTCTGACAACCGATGGCCTCATTGACGAAATAATTATTACATGGTTAACAACTATTTTCGAAATAAATTATCCATATCATAAGGAAGAATTCTACGTGATAATTAACGAAGAAAAAATTTAAAAAAATCGCTGAATTTTTTTCAATTAAAGATTTAGGAAACTTTTGTGTCAAGTGGCGAGTTCATTGACAAATAAATTACCACGTGGTCAAAACTCTCTTTGAAATAAATTATCCACGTCATAAGGAATAATTCCACGTAATAATTAATGAAAAGAAATTTTAAAAAATCGAAGAACCTTTTTTCCATTAATGATTTAGAGTTTATTGACAAATGACGAGCTCATTGACAAAATAATCACCACGTGGTCAAAACTCTCTTTAAAATAAATTATCTACATCACGAAAAAGAACCCCATATGATAATTAACGAAGAAAAATTTTACAAATCGAAGAATTTCTTTTCCATTAATAATTTAAATAAGTTTCTCGACAAGTGACGAGTTCATTGACAAAATAATTACCACATGGTCGAAGCTCTCTTTGAAATAAATTATCTACGTCATGAAGAAGAACCCCATATGATAATTAACGAAGAAAAATTCGAAAAGTCGAAAAATATTTTTTCAATTAACGATTTACAGGATTTTTCCGACAAGTGACGAGTGCCTTGACGGATTAATTGCCACATGGTCAGCAGCCTTGTCTGGAATAAACGCGAGAAGCAATATCGAGGGTGGGTGTGCTGGACAAAAGGGCGAAAATACCGTGGCGCCGTTACGAAGAATATTTTCCCGGTGAAGAAAGAAGCGTCGTTCGGTCGCTGCAAGGATGTCGTTCGCGCAACAACGAGCGTATAATAAATAATCCCCTGGAAACACCGGGTGGACACTAATATTACTGGCGATAAAAAGGGAGTCTTGGACGTGGACGATGGCGAGCGTGGCTGCAGGAGAGTCCTGCATGCTTCTGAAGAAATTCGTTACAGCTGTGATATTGCATCGAGCTACTGAATTAACGACCATGTATCGTAGTATACCACTGATGAGTCATTTTTGTAATTCACGATACATATGAGATTTTTTGGAAAGATAATTCGAATGATACTATAAACGATATAAACGAAGATAAATAAAAATGAGGGAAATTGTTATTTAAGATTTTAAACATTACTCCAGGTGCTATTTTTAATTAATTATTCAATGCAATATTAATTACTATTTTATAATTTGGATTACTTGGATATTTTGTAATATTAATTACTATTTTATAACTTGGAATGCTTGGATATTTTGCAATATTAATTACTATTTTTTAACTTGGACTACTTGGATATTTTGTAATATTAATTACTATTTTATAACTTGGACTACTTGGATATTTTGTAATATTAATTACTATTTTTTAACTTGGACTACTTGGATATTTTATAATACTAGCTAACTATAAAATAATTCCATGTAACATTGACTAATATTCCATAATTTGAACCACTTTGTGATATTAATTATTATTCGCCTTAATTAATAAAAATTAATAATAAAAATTATTTTATATTATTCTATAACTTTAACTATTTCTTAATTTTATCCATTATTTCATATACTATACTATTGTATGTATTTTTCTTCACCGTTAAATAATTTTTCGATGTCCATATAATTTCTTTAAATCAAATTTACCACCCCTATCGTATTCATCAATTCATCGTATTTTTATTAACCTTCCAAGGCACACCGAGTTTATCAACGATTCATACGATCGTCAGGAGGGATCGTATAACGTTAAATAATTCAATAAATCTTGGAAAAACTTTCTCGTCGGTCTGACAACCCCCTTGGAGATAAATTCGGTTCGAAAGCATATACCCTCTGCCAGTCGTTCTACTTCCATTAATAAAATATTTTCCAAAGCTTTTTTATGAATATGCAATTAAGAGGAACTTGTACAATTCGGTAAGAGAGTTGGAACAATGGCGTGGTACCTTGTCACCCTTCTCCTCGTCGAAGCTACGATGATCTTCTTCGTACTCGGTGCCGCCACCCTTCTCCTCATGCTTGCCTCCACCTGTTTGAATTAATTACGAGTAAAGCTTTCCACTTCTTGCCGAAAGTTTCGTAGGAATTCTCCAACTCGATGAAAGGCTGGTGTTAATTAGGGTTATTACGGTTTACCAACGTAACCGAGGGAGTTTCATTTTCGTATTACTAAGTCTGCTACTTTCATATATAAAGAAAATATGGCGAAACGATGGTGAAACTTATAAAGAACAATTCCAGGATCTGTTAAATGTTTGACGAAGCTTTAATAAGAATTTTCGAAAAGAAGATATGCTTTTATATATATTAACAGAAAGATACTTCTTTAAGTATTATTTACGTATACGTACTACCCCCTATAGTCGAATTATATTGATAATTAAATTCGAAGATTTGTAGTAGGTATTCTGAATGAATTTATTTAATTGAAGAAAGGTTTGGATAATTTAAATAATTCTTGAAAAATAATAAATACATTTAACATTCTCGAATAATATATAAATAGTGTAACCATTAAAATAGTTGGGTATTTTTATTAAACAAGGAACTTGGATAAATTTGTTAAATTACGAGTAATATATATACCTGAGATTTTCTAACAATTTTATAGTAATCACGATACTTCGATAATTTATGTCTAAATGGAGTACGATCCGTTTATGAATAAAATAATAATAATAATAATAATAATAATAATGTAATATAGTAAATAATATATTCAATTATACTATATTATAACTTATGCCAATTACTATACTATATTATATACTGGTACTATACTAGTACTATACTGGTACTATATTATAATTTATATCAATTATTATTTTCTAATATACCAATGTACTAATTTAGTATAATTTAATATATATTAATTGTTATTAATGTGCACTTCAGTCTGTATTACATGTGCATTTATTTTTCCACAATAAATTCACTCCTACGACAATTTAATTTCCGAAGAAAAAATAATGAAAAAGATTGATATATGATCATATGTACATTTTACGTTTAAAGACTAAAATGAATCGATACTTGTATCAGATACTATTAATAAATTTATTTGCTTTCAGGGTGAAATAGCTCAAAAAATACGCTGTATCAAACTTTCCAAAAATCTCCAAAAAATTTCTCTAAAATTGACAATTTAAAAAATGGCATTTCCTGATAATTCTACGACCGGAACAATTACGAAGAGACATTTTGAAGCACACTTGCCGTCGTGTTCACTGGCAGCCGCCACGGGGTCCTCTCTGTACCGGAAGTCCTCCGGAGCCTTCTCGACTTCCTGACCAAGGGAACTCCCGATAAAAATCGACGCGATCGTGCAAACTGCGAGCAACCTTTTAAATCTTATCGCACAATTCGACACCATATCAACGACTATAACGAAGAAGGAAAACGAAGAAAAATCACGGATCTTCGAGGATTCTTCCTGCGTGGAAGATGGAAGGCTGTTGTTCGAGGACGATAAGGAGACACTGAAGATCGGCCCGATTCGAGGCACAGATTTATTCGTCGCGTGGTTCCTCTCTCGAATCCTTTTTCTCTCCAATCTGCGCCTGATCATCGCGTTTTTCCGGCACGAAGAAAGTTCCGCGGAAAAAGGCGCTTTCACTCGATCCGCTTCGCGATAGATCATCTACCTTGACATCGATCGTTCAGTGCAATCGTTCCTCGATTGTCCATCGAGACGGTTCATCGACGTGCAGATTCTCCTAGCAATTCCAAACGCTTTCCCTTATAGTCTGTGCTCCGAAAGGAGTTCATGAATTTCTTTGGAATATTCGAAAGGAGTTCTCTATTTTTTTATCTTTCTGTTATTTTTATGTTATTATTTTATACGATTTATAACGATTCATATCGTTAGTTGGAAATTATTTAGATCGTAATTATCATTTTTTGAGAATAAATTAATTACTGTCGATCGATGCACATAGAGGTATAACGATAGGATGAGTGTATTAGAAAATAAAAGTTAATAAATAGATAAATTAGGTTTAGTGGATTTTATGGGATCATTTAGTATTAAATTTGCCACTGTCGAATGCGTTTTTCAGTTAATTAAATATTTAATTAAATATTTTTATTTTCGTCTTCTTGATCTTTTATCATATAAATAATCAATAAATGAATTTCGTTGGTGAATATAATAATAGTAAATATAAATTTTGAAATATCATAATATTATATAATGAAGTATTAAATCTGCCACTGTCGAATGCGTTTTTCAACGTTCAATTAAATATTTTTACTTTCTTCTTGATTTGACTTTACGATTCCTTTTGTAACATAAATTATTGACAAATGAATTTCGTTGGTGAATATAATATTAGGTTGTTCGGAAAGTAATTTCGTATAAAGAAATAAAATATTAAATGAAAAATAAAATATTTATTCATTATAAGAAAATCGTCTTTCATTTTCATAAAAAAATAACGAAATGACTTTCGAATAACCTAATGATAGTAAATATAAATTTTGGAATATAATTATATTTGTCGTATCAACTATGAAAATATAGAAAAATTTTGTGGATCATATTTCTATATCAAAAGCATGTGAAAAGAATGGAAACTTAAAGGGTTAAATACCGAGATTAAATTAAATAATAAAATTTCTGAAAATAGGAGAAATTGTTTTATAAGATGAACATTTACGATTTGTACGATCATTTTGGAATGACGTGGGTAAGAAATAACTTCGTTCGCGTAATGCAATATGTGTGCAAAGTATTACCACGACTCGACATTGCTCTGTGTGGCTACCATGGGTTCTAGGTCGTTCTTTTATCTTCCCCATGGCTCGTTCTAACACTAAACGTGTTATTTTTTCGCCTGAGAATCGAGTTGCCAAGCTGTTGACATTTCGCAGTTTCCTTGAGTCAGCACCGCTGGACCATTTACTCTCCTTGCGTTTAACGATCCTTGAATAACTTTAGAACACCAGTAAAAGAAGAAAAATGGACTCCTTTTTGTGCTTATCCACCTAGGGACAATTATTTAAAGCGCTTCTTAAATATTCTTCAGCTCTGACATGAATGCTACTTTTATGATTAATAGATGGGAGATCCTAATGGGAGATGCTGCATAGTAATTAAAAATTATGAGAGTTTGGAAGAAATTTGGTAATAATACACCTGAAGTAATTTAGAATATTGGAAAATAATTTTGCAATAATTTAAAATATTACAAAGCTTGAAATACTACATAGTAGCCATTCAGAATACTGTAAGATAATATAACAGTAATTAAAAATATTATAAAATATATATAACATAATTTAAGAAATTATAAACATAATTAAAAATATTATAAAACAGTATAGCAGATATTAAATATATTATGAAACTACTTTGGAATATTAATACAGAATAATAATTGCTATTCTAGCATAAACTAAAGAAGGGAATAAAAGAAAGAAGGGAAAGAAAGAAATAATGCGTTGCCTAAAACTAAAAATTACCTACAGCGAAAATCGATTGGCAAATAAAAATTCCAAAGCACTCGAGCAGAATAAAAAGTTAAAAGGATCCAGCGAATACCTGTTGATATCCTCCTGAACTAATCGCATCGGAACAGCTCTCGAACGGCCATTGGATGGTGCTCGAAAGCAACGCGATCAAAGTGGAAAAAGCTCGTGGACGGAAGCTGGATGGCCTGCGCTGGATCCGTGATCGTCGTGGACGCAACAGCCATCGAGCAAACATCGACTGGGACGAGGGGATGAAGCCGCAGTGCAAACAGCCGGCTAGCTCTTTTTCATCCCTCGTTCCTCTCATATCTGGCGACCTGGTAAGCCGTAAGAGAAGAACACTTTAATGCGGGTCCATTTTAATGAATTTCGCAATTGTAACTAGTCAGGTTGCGCGGATAATCGGCCTTAATACTGTTTCAGCTTTTATCACCGCTCTGAGCTACTTACCAGACCAAGACGTCGCCAAGACTTCGATGACGCGTCGTCGAGGGATCTCGTTAGATGGGAATTAATTAATCGGCACCCGTTTCGTGGAGAAAATGAAGATTTAGGGCATGAAAGGAACATTTAAGATTATTTTGAGTATTTTGCGTTTGTTGTTAATTGCTGGTCATTGATATTTGTTGGAAATATTTAGGTTAGGTATGGCGTCTTTTGTGAAAAGAGTTTGAGATTTTGTGAGGTTATGTTGTAAGAGTATTTTGAGAATTAATATTTATGGAAGATTTGGGTTAGGTATGGTGTCTTTGGTGAAAGAAATTGGAGACCTTGTAAATTTATCTTAAGAATGGATATTTATTGAAGATTTAGGTTAAATATACTATCTTTTGTAAAAGAAGTTTAAGACTTTTATAAGGATATTTTGAGAATTGATTTGCATTGAAAATTTAGGTTAGGTATGATGTCTATTGTAAAAGGAGTTTGAGACTTTTATAAAGTTATCTTGAGAATTGATATTTATTGAAGATTTAGGTTAAATATAGTATCATTTGTAAAAGAAGTTTGAGACTTTTATAAAGTTATCTTGAGAATTGATATTTATTGTGAAGGAAGTTTGAGGTTTTTGTAAGATTGTCTCGAGAATTGCTATACATTGAAGATTTAAGTTAGATATAGTGCCTTTTGTAGAAAAAGTTTGAGACTTTGTAAGGTTATATTGAGAATTGATATTTATTGAATATTTAGGTTAGGTATGATGTCTTTTATGAAAGAAGTTTGAGGCTTTTGTAAGGTTATCTTGAGAATTACTATATAATGAAGATTTACGTTAAATAAAGTAGCTTCTGTGAAAGAATTTTGAGACATATAGGCATAAAAGGAAAGATCCTTAAATTTTAGCAATATCTAATTGAGGTTCTTTCTCTTAAGGTTGAAAATATTAATTGATTTATTATTTAAAATAAATATGATATATATATTTTTCTTTTTTCTTTAAGAAGTTTAATAAGCCTGAAAGGGTACGATTATTTAAAACATTGTTAAAAAAAATTGCTATGTAAAAATTGGAGACTTTGACAGCTTAAAGAAGAGCGAGAGAGTTCTTGGAAGGCTTAAATTTGAATGTCCGATGTAAACAAAACGAAGGCCACCATCGCGAAGGAATGCACGAAAGATTGATCCGTTTATGAAATTAGCCATCGATGATCCAATAACCGTGAGCTAATCTCTTCGAAATATCGCAATTTATTTTTTATCATGCCCCAAGTTTCATCGAAGACAAATCGATCTGAAGGATTCCACGAGTTAAGGGTATCGTAACCTTTAGGGGCTATTCGAGGGAGCGATCCGCGTAAAAAGATCCTCTGAAAAGAATATCGAGCCCGATCATGTTACTCAGCCATAACGACGAAAAACGCTAAAACGCGTCTGAACAATCACGGTTTTTTTTTTCGGCTGGTAATTCGATCGTAACAGTCTGCTGATGCTTTACTACGTTGCTTTATGTCTGAGACGCGTTGGAGGCCTAACGTCAGGGAAGATATACCTATTGCAATATTAATTAAAGGTCACAATCGTGCGAAAGTCATGGAGAACCTCAAGATGGAGTCATTACTCGTCAAAGACATTTGAAGATCACATAGAAGTCATTGAAGTAATTTCAAGCAGGAGTTAAGATTATTTCATGATCAGCAGAAGTCATTGAAGACCTGCCATTAGGAGTCAAGGTTATTTAAAGGTCCCACGAAGGACATTAAAGTAATTTATAGATCACATGTAGGCCATTAACATCGTTCCAAAAGAAGCTAAAGACATTCAAATTTCAGGAGGAGCCATCCAGGTCGCGGAATTTGGTGTCAAGGTCATTTAATGGTTACACGAAGGTCATTAAGGTCAATTCAAAGGAGGCTAAGGTCATTAAAACGTCACAAAGTGCCATCGAGGTCGCATAAATGGGCGCCAAGTTCATTTCATCATCACACGAAGATCATTAATGCCGTTCTAAATGATGTTAAGGTCATTCAAAGACCACAAGGGATCATCGAGGTCGCGTCACAATGCACAAGCTCATTCCAAGGTTATAACACGCATAAAATCGTAATTCGAATCGCATCACGAATCGTCAAAGTTATTCAAAGATCATCGAGGATCAAGATCACGTAAGAGTCATCGATCGTCCACATCGGGACAACGTTACATACAGGATTAATAAACAACGCTAAGACCACATAGCATACGGATTCCTCGTTCTCACGTGACAACTACCATCATGTCTCGTTTACCATCTTCACTGTATATACCTCTACCTAACCCATCCCGAACCAACGTTCCCTAACCTATCCCGAAAACAAGAATAAAACGAAAGTTTCTTAACCCCTAGTTCCTTTAACAGCTTCCACGCCCACTTGGCCTAAGACCCTGAGCCACAGCCTCCTCACCCCTAATACGGCAAATCGGTCTCTCCTAACCTCCTAACATCCTCCAATACACGTAATCAAATATCGACACGGCCATCGCGAGCAAAGATCACTCTAAAAGCCCACAATGCGACTAAGGATCCGGCAGCTGAACGGCATCATCAGCCACTCTCTGCAACCAGGCAACATTGCGGCCGCACTTCACCGTCGCCGTGCGACAGCCCGTCACGCGGCTAACGAGATATCGATAAGCAAATTAGCCAGCGTGTGTATGTCGCCTTAAGCGACTGGCCAAGTAAACAGGGTCTCGGTTAATACTCGTAATTCGATTTCCATCATCCGCTATATAAGCGGATACGCCGCTCTACAGCCACGTTTGCCCGCAAAATTCTCCATACCTGAACACGTCGATCGCTCCGCCGGCCATCGAACGCCGGCTATCGAACGCCGGTCACCCTGTCAACCTTCTTCACCCCGAACACACCCGAAAATCCTACATTTCTCCAGCACGGAGTTCAACCGGTACCAAGATTCGCGGATGAAATGCTCGCGGTTTTCGCATAGTCACAGGCTACCGAGAGTTCGCGGAATCTTCGTGGATCAGGAGAGCAGTGAGGAAGGTTCGCAGGATCTTCGTGGATAAGGGGAAAAGGGATGAAGGAAGTTTCTGAAAGATTCGCGAGGTGGTAGAGAAGTGACGAATCTTCGTGTGGAGCCTTCGCGAGTTAGAGAAGTGACGAATCTTCGTGGAGTCTTTGCGATATAGAGGGAAGGTTCGTAGGACTTTTGTGTTGTAGTATAGAGACTGTATTCCTGTGTAATGTAACAGGGAAAGTGACGAAAGACGTGGGACAAAGAGTGGTGATATTGAGATTAGGGAAGTGAAGGGCAGTGGCTGAATTAGGTGTGTCAGTGGGGCTAATGTGGATTGGACGAGCGAATATCGAGGATTACCTGTGTATGCAGTGATAAAGAAGTAAGAGTTCGAAAATTCTTTGGATTTTAGCTTTTCCATTGTTTTTCGATAAATTTTGAATGATTTGGTGCTGTGAAAGATTTTCTATGGCTTAAATATTTTTAATAGTTAAGAAATTTTATTGTACTATACCGATAGGAACAGTATAACGTGACTTTGAATCCTGAAAAATTTTTATTGCAGAAATATTATTCTAATACTAGGTATCCCAATAATTTTGATCATCTGAACTATGAAAGCTTCGATTCTAAAAATTTCTTAAGAAACTCAAGAGTAGGAAGTTTCTGATGATCTTGAAGAGCTCCTCTTATTCTGTATTCTTATATTTGATCATAAAATATTATATAATATAAATTCGAGTTTGCCTAAGATTTCATTCATGTATAAATCCCAATTCCAAAATCTTCTCTTTAACTTCCAAAATTTATACTATAAATTACCCAAATAAAAGGGGAATTTTAAAATACTATAAAAATATTAATAATTCCAGAATATTATAAAAATTCTCCAAATATTCTAGTTAAAAGCAATTGAGTTACCCTGTACATTCCTCCATTTCTATTTCTAAAATTTCGATTACCAATTAATTATCAGACTCCACTTGCCTGTAATAGAAATCCAAGAGCCTGTCATCAATATCGTAGTTCAAAATGAGCTGCGAGAAGTCAGATAAGGAGATAGAGTCAGCTTCAGACGAGATGGACAGCTACGTGGTTCAGCTGCCAAGATCTCTGAACATCGAAGAAAAGAAGTATCTGTTGGCAGTGGAACGAGGCGATCTGGTGAACGTGAAGAGGTTCATCCAATTGGCCAAGAAAGGCGGAGTCAATGTGAGTCCTTGTCGAAATTAATTGTTCAATCGTCCGATCATTCGCTGGGATTTGCTTCAGAAGAATTCGACTTTCAGGGCAAACCACTGGACATAAACTGCGTGGACAGTTTGGGTCGAGGGGCTCTGTGTTTGTCCATCGACTCTGAGAATTTGGAGATGGTCGAGCTGCTAGTGGTGATGGGCGTCGAGACCAAGGATGCCCTTCTTCGAGCCATCGATCAGGAGTTCGTGGAGGCTGTGGAGCTGCTGCTGGAACACGAGGAGCTTCTCACTGCTGATGCATTGGCTGAGAACAACTGTAGGTCTCCAATCTTCTATTATCAATATCGAAGTCTTCCATTTCTGAAGATGTAAAATTAATTTAAATTAAATTCATTTAAATCGAGGATGAAAAATGTAGTTTGGCAGAGGCTGGAAAAATTGGAGATACTGTGATGATGGATAAAAATTATTGGAAGATTGAAGAAATAAAAGAAATGAAGGTTTAGGAAAGATATAGAATTTCTTGGATACAATTTTGGAGATCACATGGACGACTGACACTGTTGAAAAATGTAATTTGGAAGCATCAGAGACATCCAGCAAAACAATTACTTTGAAAAATTGAAGAAGCTAGTGTGATGAATTATAAAAATATTTAAAAATATTAGTTGGAGGAATTACAGAAAATTTGTATAAAAATTAGTTTGAAAACGTGACGAGGGAGATATATTATAGTACAATTTTGAATTATAATAATCAACTGGGCAACTTAAATTATTTATTCAGTAGAAGAAAGTAGTCCTGGATATCGAAAGAATTTTAAGTATAATTTTAGGATACTTCAAAAGCGTTTTGAGGTATTAGAAAAATTGTTCACAGAAATTAGACTGAAAGCTGCAGGATGCTGTCACGGAGTGTCTTAGGGTAATAAACTAAAACGTAGGGAATTTATAGACGAAAAGATTAGAGAAGACGTGGAAGGATTTACGATCGTGTTCAGAGTCTTATGGTTTTCTATAAAATATCCTTGTAATCTGCGATTGCAGCCACGAAAGAGGTGATTCACAGCTGGCAGAAGATCGATCCAGCATCCGCGAGGTATCCGCCAGAAATCACACCACTGATCCTCGCGGCGCAGAGAAACAACTACGAGATCCTCAAGTTGCTGCTCGACCGTGGCGCCACCCTACCTATGCCGCACGATATCAGATGTGGATGCGCCGATTGTTTAAGATCCACCACGGGTAAGATATCTTCTACAAATGCTGTGAGACGAGTTCTCAAGTAGATAGAAAAATTGCTGATTTATTTCCTCGAATATCTGTATCATATTTTATAATAATTTCAGAGAAAGATCTATTTTGAGAATTGTTGAGACAGTCCTGGGATGGAGACTACAATTGCATGTGCATTGTGTATCTCTATGAGGAATACAATTGGATGTGTATTATGGAATTGAAATGTTAGAAAAATGGAGAGAAAAATCATTCTAATTGATTAAAAATTGAAATGACAATGCAGTAGACTGGGAATTATAAGGGTGATGAGGGAAATTAATTTAATTCTCTGTAATAGCAGTTGATTGGAATTTTGGTTTTGAGGATGAGATTTAGAAGTATGTAAGAATAAGGTTCCTTACTTTAATTTGAGAAGTGGAGTCTAGTTATTGTCATTGTGAATCTGAATCATAGATGGATTATTTGCTACTGCTAGGATGGTATAGCAATGAAATACTAATTATAAGAAAATAAGTAGAAGAAAATAGATAAATATATATGCCATATAGTGACAACTATAAGTGTCATAAAATTGCAGAAGGTTAATATTACTTTGTGAATGTGAAGTTAATAAATCAGGATAAAATTAGGTATATAATCTGAAATTAATAAAATTAATAAATTATAAATACTGGTGTATATAACTTGTGGAATTTATGGAGTTAGACAAGTTATGGTCTAATCGAGGGAGGAGATTTGCTAGAATTACATTTATATATTCTCAACTTTTTTAATTAAATATTTGAAACAGTCAGCGAATCGGATATTATTCCTTCTTATACAGGCGATCCTCTGAGACTTTCGTCGACTAGGATTTCCGAGTACAAAGCACTGGCAAGTCCAAGTTTGATAGCTCTCAGCTCGCCAGACCCTCTGCTCACTGCTTTTCAATTGAGCTGGGAACTTCGAGAACTGACAATCGCCGAACCGGAAAGCAGGGGCGAATATCTGAAGCTTCGACGACAGGTCGAGAGGTAAACTTCGTCTATTTTTATCTCCTTCCGCGTTATTAATTTCAGACACTTCGTCTTATTATTTAAACAAAATCTCTCACTATTAAAAAATTATTTATCCCTTCCAATTTTTATTTGTTTCTATCCTACACCTTCTTTGTACTTAAAAACATGGCACGAAATTTGTTAAAAAATAGCACAATAAACTACAAAAACATATATTCAAAAGTGACCCATGATAAAAATTAAAAATTCATTAGAAAAATAGAAGAATAATCTATAAAAATATGTATATTTAAAAAATGACCCAGGGCAGAAATTAAAAATTCGTTTGAAAAATAACAGAATAATCTACAAAAATGTATATTTAAAAAATTACCCAGGATAGAAATTAAAAATTCATTTAAAAAATAGAAGAATAATCTATAAAAATGTATATTTAAAAAATAACCCAATGTAGAAATTAAAAATTCGTTTGAAAAATAGCAGAATAATGTATATTCATATTTTAATGTATATTGTATATTTTTGAAAATATATCTTTAGAAAATGACCCAGGAAATGAACAATTTGCTTGAAAAGTTAATGTAAAATAAGATCATTGCGAGTGAAGGAAAAGACATCGAAAAGAATTAGTATAATAATTCTCACATTTGCAGGAATGATAGATAGAAATTGCAGCTTTTGGGTCTTACAATGAGAATATCCTTAAAAGCTTTCGTCGATTTCGTTTCAATTAGATTCGCTGTTGATCTGCTGCAACAAGTGCGAACCACCACAGAATTACAGACGATCCTCAACTATGATCCGGAGGATGAGGAGAACTTGTCCACGAAGCAGCTGGCCAGATTAGAATTGGCTATACAATATAAGCAGAAAACTTTCGTCGCCAATTCCCACGTGCAGCAACTGTTGGCGGCGATCTGGTGAGTTCGTTACGAACTTCCCTCGATTTTCTACCCCTGAATTATCCGTTACGAAATTGCTTCGGGGTTGATTGCAAACTTTATTTCGCGTATTATATTCGAAAGTAGAAGATCTCGTTGTACTGTACCTAATAATCCCCTATCTCGTCATTTCCCTGAAATTTCTCCTGTTCGTCAACGTTCGATAAATTGGAATTAAGATCTCCAGTATTTATATTTTTAATTGTAATTATATTCTTATAACATAAATTCGTCAATTCAATCTGATAATATTTCTTCTTGGAGATAGATTTGTAATTTATTTTTAAATTATCTTCCATTTAAATATCTATTTTCTATTTAATTAATATGTCTTTCAATGTATCTATATTACTCCAATTATGAATTATGTGTAACCATAACTATTTGCTGTAATTTTATTTCTGGAAAGAAAATTATTCTATATAGATCTTTGACAAGGTTTCCTTTCACGAGTGAGTCTACTAAAAAATATTAATTTTGGATCAATTTTATTAATTCTTGATTAAAATCCTTAAATAAATCAGTGTGTTCTTACTATGGTTTTATATGTATATATATTTATGTAATTGTAGATTACGTGTATATATATCTATACATGGGTTACCTATACGTCCATAAGATATAAAATTTGGATATAATAATATTTCTACAAATTTAATACATCTTCATCTATCCTATATTTATCTTTGTCCAAAGGTACGATGGTCTACCTGGCTTTCGTCGCATGAGGATGGGCCAAAAGTGTGGAATTCTCGCGAAAACTGCCGTGATGTTCCCATTCTACTCGATGGTGTACCTACTAGCACCGGAATCTAAAACTGGCCAACTAGTCCGAAAACCATTCGTAAAATTCCTCGTCCACGCTGCGTCCTACTTGCTCTTCCTATGTGAGTCTTCCTAAATTAACGATCAACGATGTTAATTATCGCATCGTGGATAAAACGATTGAAAAACGCACGGTTGTTTCAGTTATTCTGATGTTGGTGTCCCAACGAGCAGAAGTGGAAATAGTGAAGATGTTTGGCAGCGTGGATACGAAGAGGAATGTTGAGGCGGAGCTGGCGAGGCAAAGAGGCGCAGCCCCGTCGATTCTCGAGTGTATCGTAATCCTCTACGTTCTTGGATTTATTTGGCAAGAAATGAGAGAGGTGTCTGCCACTTCGAACTTAGCAAACACGAAATTTAGAGCAAATATCCCCCACTCTGTCAGAAATAAATAGACACGCTATCTTTCCACCATTTATCTCACAAGAGTAATGAAGTTTCATGAAAATGGATAAAATCAAACGTATACTGTACAATTTTTATTAATTAATCAAATAGGATTTCAAATATTGGCCTGCAAAAGCTTCTAAAATGAGTAAAATGTTGGAAATTTTGTAAAAATTGAAACTCAAGGTTGCATTGATCTTTGTGATGTTAAGAATTTTCTAAATTTTCCATTTAGTAATAAAAATTGGAAAACTGAAAATAAATAGAGAAAAATGGGACAGAGTTTGCTTTGGATTAGTAGACGCTGCGAGATGGAATAATTTAAAGCTCGATGTAATCATAATTTCAAGGCTTACGTGGACGGATTGAAGGCATACTTGCGAGACATGTGGAACTTCATTGACTTCACTAGAAACTTCCTCTATGTCGCGACGGCGGTGCTCAGGCTAGCTGCATATCTTCAGCAGAGAGCTGAGATTAGTCAGGACCCAATGGCGGCTTTGGTTCCCAGGGAAACCTGGAGCGATTTCGATCCTCAGCTAATTGCAGAGGGTTTGTTCGCCGCGGCCAACGTCTTCAGTGCCTTGAAACTGATCCACCTGTTCAGTATCAATCCTCATTTGGGTCCTCTTCAGGTACCATTCTTAATTATCCAACTTCTTTAAAAAGAAATTGCCGTGGAAGCTAACAATAAGAAAAAGATTGTATTAAAATTTGTATGAAGATAGAGAACAATATTTGTACAAAATTAGGCAGATAAAAGATTCTGAAATTTTATGTACTTCATTTTTTAATTTTCTTCCAGATATCTCTGGGCAGAATGGTGATAGACATCGTCAAGTTCTTCTTCATCTACACCTTGGTGCTCTTCGCGTTTGCCTGTGGTCTTAACCAGCTCCTCTGGTACTTTGCTGAATTAGAAAGGAGGAAGTGTTACACTGGTTTCACAGATCCATCTTGGGATGCTGCCAGCGAGCCTTGTTTGAGATGGAGAAGGTCGATATCTCGATCAATGAGCCATGATCTATAGTATCGTATAGTATCATCGTGTATTAACTTACTTTAACTCGGCTGCACAGGTTCGGCAGCCTTTTCGCGTCGTGTCAAAGTTTCGAACTGACAGGTAAAATCATATTGAAGACCATTCTTAGTATCTTTTCTCTGATATATCTAAAGAAATCTTGATTTGTACTTAAGGTATCAAGTCGTATACTCGATTTTGGGGTCTGCTGATGTTTGGTTCTTACTCTGTGATCAACGTGATCGTCCTGCTAAATCTCCTGATCGCCATGATGAGCAACAGCTATGCTGTCATAGAGGTAAATTACAAAAATTAGAAGAGAATAAGAAAACGTTTTCCAACAATTGAAATTATAAAATTTAATCATGAACAGGAACGTGCAGACAAGGAATGGAAGTTCGCAAGAACGAAGCTGTGGATGAGCTACTTCGAAGAGGGCGGCACTGTTCCTCCTCCGTTCAACATCATTCCACCACCCAAATTGTTCCTTAGACTGTGTGGTCTCCGCAAAAAGAAGTTCACCAGGACGACGAGCGATCGCAAGAAAGCACAGGAATCCAAGTAAGGATCGACACTGGTGTAATGTGTACTTAAATACAATATAATATGTATAGATAATAATTAAAATAATTATTCGTTCTTGCAGATATGGAGCAGTAATGAGAGCACTAATATGGCGGTACGTCGTGAATGCTCATTCTGAACACGAAATGGATCCAGTCACCGAAGACGACGTTCATGAACTCAAATCGGACTTATCCTCGTGGAGGTGTGAATTGCTGGATATCTTGCAGAGGAATGGCATGGACATCGCTGGAGCTGACACTAAAGAGAGAAGTGAGTGATTCAGAGAATTAGAGAGATAAGATTTTGCAAATATTTTACGAATCGTTTAATATTTGATAAATTGGTCAATTAACAATAAGTTGATTATTCAAAATTGAACAAAAAAGTTTTTCGATTAATACTCACCACTAATTCGTGCGAATAATCAGCTATACTGGGCAAGAAGATGAAAGTGTGGGAGAGAAGACTGATGAAGGACTTCCAAGTGACAGTTCCTGTAAACGGTTCAGAGATCGAAGAGGAGCTGGGATCTCTTCAACCATCTGAAGATGAAGATAACATCGCCAGATGGAAGAGAATCGCTAAATTAGCTGTATTACAATCGGCTAATCATCGTTGGAGCCAGGTACAGAAATTGCCGAAATTTATTATTTAATTTTATTATGAAATAAATACATTAGCGACCAAAAGAGATTACGAAAAATATCGATGGAAATATTGCAGGTAGTGGACAGCGCCGTGAAGAGTTCTCAGATCGGCAAAAGCACCAGCAGAGCGTCCCTTCAAAATCAACTGAGCTTGAAGAAAGCCATGGAAGAAGCACAGAAATTAAGCAATAAGAATCCTTTACCACCTATATCGCCTATAGAGATACAAGAAAGCACGACTTCAACGATTCTTCATGTTCTCAAAGATATCACTGAGACTGAGGATGCCTTGCACGAAACAAAACCCGAGCCCCCGATACTTACTGTCATATCAGATTGCAATAAACCTTCGAATAAAGTGAGAACTACCTCGCGTTATAAAATTCGAAATAAATAAGAATTAAAAAATATTAATTAAAAATTCTCTGCTAACTTTTTCAAAATCGAAAATCAAAGTAATTGTTAAGTCTTCAGATATAACTAGAATGAACAGTTCAAGCAAGATTTTATTAATTTTCCAATAACGAAATTATTTCGATTTATATTTTGTACTCCTTGTTTTTGCTCTCTATGGGGAATTGACTGATAGGCTGCTGCTTTCCTTTATAGCAGAAGCCCGTGATGTCGATGGACTACGTCGACGAGAAACCCAACAAGATTGCACCACCAGCACCGCTTCGTACACCGCCACGGGTTGTCAAAAGGAAGTCCTCGAATTCTTCGATCCCAGCCTATCAACAATCTGCTGGTAAGGATTTGTATCACTTTCATTCCAAAACTATTTCGTTAGCAATCTCACAGTTCAATTAAGCAATTTTCTTAATTTCACAGAATTATTAGAAATATTATTAACAAATATCATTAATGTTATAAACATCGTCAATAAAAAAAAAACAATTTTCCTTTATTGTCATTTGCATAAATAAATATTTCCAGTGATTTTACGAAAGATTGGATTACACTATGACAAGTTGGTAAATAAATTTGTAGTGTTTATAATCGTAGATAGTCGTAAGTGTAATGTATATATACTATGTTTCTGTTTGTATTAGATTAAAGTTTGTGTACTTTTGTTGAGATACGCGTCGTTCTGCTTGAATAGGAAATTTTCTAAAAATTCTGTGAACTTTTTTCATAAATCGTGGAATTAAATTTTTAACCCATTTGTATTTGATAGTACTTCGAACAGATTAGGTTTTATTTAATATCATGTTGCTTGCAGATACAACATTATCAACTCACTCCATAAAAAGTTCTAAATATTCATCTGATTCTTCTGTGGAGAACGTGAACAAATCTAACACTGGTAATGCTGGCACAGAATCTACATTGTCTCCGCCCACAGATAAAACGATAAAATCGCGATTGAAACCTTCGCTAAGCCCTAAAAAGAGTTCAAACATGCCAGAAGATAAAGAGAAACTAGTAGATGTTATGCCTAAATCGCCACGAATAGCGAACAGTAGGTCACCTCGAAGAGGAGGCTGGTTGTAAAGCAATGGATATATAAATAAATAAAATAAAACATGTAACTTATGAAATTAGTTTAAGGACTTCTGAACTGAAGAAATGAAACTCCTTTATTTTGTATTATTTAAAATCAATTGTTAAATTTGGGATTTAAAATTAAAATATACACTGACACAACATTTTTACGACATTAGAAAATAAATTGGCATTGGAATGACGGTGTAAAGTACTTCTTTCTTTATTCCTTAAAAAATATGTGTATGTATAAGAAACGTTAATTTCAACAGAATAAAATACAAGCTCATATAGCTAAAGTATAGAGTATGTATATATTTCTTCGCTCACGGGTACAACTGTTATCGTCGTTCAGTGGTAGTGACATAAGGAAATAAAATTAAAATAATGCATAAATTAATGCACTGATCGTATAAAATATATTTCAACATCGTGGCATTCGAAGAAACTTTGAATGATGGAATTGACGAAGGCAAATGGCGAAAGCCATTACGACTTGAATGAACTCGATTGGCTACACGTTTTTCCCTCCCCGGAAATAACTCGAATACTGAGAATACGATGAGTCAAAAACTACACGTTCTAAGCGGCTTGCACCACTTTACTTTGGGGACCTTTCTGTGTGGAACTGATTTTGTCGCCTAATGACAGTGCCATGCCTTGGCTCTTCGCTCTGATACGAATGTGACCAACCACCGGCGCATCCGGTTTATTCAATGGCTTCTCAATGGACATATTCGCCAATGCATCTTCACCGAATATCGACTTCGCATACATATTCGCAGCCATAAAGCCACATTGTCCAGAGAGGGCCTGAAAAAATATATTTTTTTTCAATTGTTTTTTAAATGGTTGTTCCATCTTTAATTTTTACAATTGGTTCAAATGTTATAAAAATATATATTATTTATCGAGAAATTAAATTTAAAATACAATACCTTTTCTGGAGTAAGACATCGCATATTTGTGGATTTTAATAGATGAGCGAGATACTCTCTCAAATCTGATAATGTCGTATTTACAGACACCTTATTTTCCCATTCGAACTCTGCCCACATTTGTCTGAACTCTGCATCGGTACATGTTGCCGGCACTATGTAATCCATGATATCGATATGTATATCATTCAACACTACTACGCTTCTATCAGATCCCGCGCCAGACACATCATATACTAGAAGTTAATTAGTTCATTTTTTTTAGTGGTCTAATTCAATAAATCATTAACTAATAATTGAATTTTACTAATTACCTATGTTCCCAAATATTATTCCATTTTCTGTAGAGGCTACTTTTACATTTGCCTTAATGCTTGCGAAATCTCGAGGAGCAAGTACGATAGGCTGTGGTCTTTCCACGAGTTTCAAGTCACCCATCGTAGCAAGCTCTAAAGTACAGTTCTGCAGAGTGTCTTCTGTTTGATTAACGATTAAAACATCCAGTACAATGTCGTATTGATTAACGTGAACGAGAGCTTCTGCGTAAACAGGATCTGAAAAGCCAGTTAACTGAGTAACCTTGCTCAAAGCACTGGGAACTGGCGTATCTCCAGAAGCACCAGGTCTTCCAGCAACTGCAGCACTCAAACTCTGTTCAAATACATCAGCAGCTCCACCTGTTAGATCTGAACCACGGCTCAACTGTAGGAACTGTATCGCGTCGTCTACTTGAACAACGCTACCTGGCTTCTCCTTTGCCTGTGTAAGTAAAAAAATACATTATTTGTTTGTTATAAAATTTCTAACTTGCTCGGTGCATAAATGGAGAAATAAACAGTTCATGAATACTAAGTAAAAATAAATTAAATCGATATGATATATAACCTTTTGGTTCTGTGAATCTTCTTCCGCTTTCGCTGTTAACATTCTACCAAGAGCATCACGACATCCCTCAGTGAAAACTTTCTGTACGAGTGGTGTTGGACATGCTAAAGATCTTAGGCACAAAGACAAACGTTCGGCGTCATCATGCGTTATTGCTTTAGTTGGAAGACCTGAACATCCTAACTGCAGTACACTGGACATCACCAGCATTGCTTCAGCTTGCATGCGATTGCTTTTCTGCACGTCATTTTCCAGACCTTTATAACGAAGCGCCAGCTTAGCTAAAGTCGTAGCTAGAGAGGCACCTATGAAGAAGTCACCATCCATCATGTATTGAACCAGTGCAGGGCGTTTTTCTTCTTTCTTGCCTACAAATATTAGAGAAAAGAGTGGCAAACATATTAATCGTTTTCTTGTAAAAAAAAAAAAAAAAAAACAGATGTAGGATACTAAAGGATGTAAATGCTAAAAGATAATTACGTGTAGATGTTGCACTGAATGCACTCTGAGTAGCATATGTGCCGTCTGACGTAACTAATTGTGCAGGCATAATTTGAACATTTCCATCTTCAAGTGATTTTTCACCAGCCTGACGTTTATTCTCTGCTTCCAGTAATGGCAGTTCTCCTAAAGCAGCCCGTATACGACTCATTACGGCTTCAATATCTTCTTTAGATGTTGCGTATTCTCCGAGAATCCACAATGCAGCTCTGTGTACCTTTACTGATCTAATATGTGAAAATACCTGTAAATAATGCTCAAGATGTAATGGATTTTTTAGGATAAAAAAATAATGATCAATTCTATTTTATTTATATTTTGAATATGTACTTCAAGGAGTTTTTCAACAATGAGTGGTCTCAGAGTTTCAAATCGCTGAATAGCTTCACGGACAAACACCAAAACATCAGTTGCTGCAGCCTCATTATTTTCCGATAAGAAATCTGTTAATACTGGAATTACTGTAGCCGCGACGTCTGAGAATTTGATAGAACAAGCATGCAACGTCCGAACGAGAAGTTGTCGATATCGGCCGGCATCTTCCTGTTCCCCACCAGCTGTTCGAAGCACCTCTTTCTTCAGTAACTGAACCATTTCTTCAATCGTGCGAGTTGTTACCAAGTCCATCGCTAGAGCTAATGTTTTTGTTCTAACTTCCAATGCTGGAGAACCTAAAATACGAATTAAGGCTTTAAACAATATTCTACAGTGTGGCACTGTCTTCGTTTTTAATTTCAGAAATTTACCTAAAACCCGAAGTACATCCATAACCAGATCTTGGAGAACTCTTTCATAAACAGGACTGTCTTTCATTGCAATCAAGCGATCCAATACAATCAATTTAACATTATTATCGCTTTCTTTAACAACTAATTCGATGTAGCAAGAGGCTGCTGCCTTAATTGCTGTGGGAGCACTAGAAAGTGTAATCAAAGTTCCAGCTGCTTCGTAGCGTACAGCAGCACTGGGTGAATTTAACAAACTATAGATACATCTGATAAAACGAGCTCTTTCTAATGGATTTGCAAGACAAACCTACAAAATGAATACATTAATATTTGATGGCAATAAAATGTAAACTTCTTCAAAAACTATGCACCTTGTAAATTAGTTCTACAATAACCAACTGCAATATATCGCCAAAACTGGGTACTTGATCCAAACAAGCTGCTAAATAAGCTAGTGCTCTGCTCTGATCAGCATGTAAAAGCATTAAAAATGCATTTCTTCTACAGGACATGTCTTGTTCCCCTTCTAAATACTTTGCTATTAATTCTGGAGCATCTGGTATAAGAAACTCAAAGTTTCTGTAAATTGTAAAAATAGCCAGAACTGCATTACGTCTAACATAAGAGTGTCTATGTTCTAAACATGCAATTATTGCAGGCATCAAGGGCTCCAAAAGTTCTGGTTCCTTCAGTTTGCACAAGAATCTGAAATATAAAGATGTATTTTAAATTTAAGGCTTGTATATGTGTTAAAGTTAAAAATATTTATTCCCTTAGTACCTTAATGTGGAACCTCTAACAAATTCATTTGGATGCTGTAAATCTTTTCTATAAGCATCACAAACTAAAATCATTTCCTGAAGTAATTTTCCATCGGGAGAAGTTTTGGGAACGATCTCCCAAAATATCAAAAGGAGTTTTTTTATGGTGTGATCTTGTAGAGGCAGTACGAATCTAATAATAGTCATCAAAAGTCCAGGTAAACGTTCTCCACTCAAAATCATATGAATGGTTTTCTTAAGGGCTTCAATTTTTGTCTGGACATCACCCTTTTCAAGATCTTGTTTCAACTGAGGTTCATTCAATGGTTCTGTATCAGTTGGAACATTTATCAATGTGTAGCAAGGTTGCTCGGTCATAGCACTCATTTTCTTGGCTGTTTGATGCTCTGCCAAAAAAATACTATTTTATGACCTATAAATTGAAAACGATCAATATAATCAATATAATTTTCAATTGCATACTTGAAATTTTCTAAGCGCAGTTATTTATGAAATACATTACAAAGTGAGGTTATGTTGCCGCCTAGTATGCGTTTAACTTATCAAGGTGAATACAACATTATATAGTATGTTGATTGAATTCGACATACCTGATCACAAGAAAGTTATGCAATAACAAAGGACAACAATAGCTTTTAATTGGTCAACTGACATTTATATGAATCCGGAAACAATGAAAACAGCATACGTGTCAAACCCCTACACTAGGGGAATATTGAAGCTAGGAGTAGATAGCGCCACAATCCAAATCCTCCACGTAGTTCGCACATTTTTGAATTTGTTAGGTTATTTCATTCGTAAACTATTTTTTATGCACTGATTTATCGCATAAATAATAGTTTTCATATTCTTTCCATTTCTCATTCTGCAATACTTCAATTTTAAAACTTCTAACGATCACGTTTTAATATAAAGATATTAAAAAATATTTTGATAAAATGAGGGGGGAACTCGTGCTAGAAGAATACTCAGAAAATTAAATTTTTTATTTTTACAAAGAAACACATACATATGCATAAACAAATATTTTTACAGAAAAATATTTTATTAGACTACCACTAATAGAAATTTAATCTTAAAGTACAAGATACCTTTAGTTAAATGTTAAAATATATTTGGTAATTATTACCTCTAAAATATATTTACAAACTTAAGTTTCAACTTCATGAATTGCCGAGATTTCTCTAAGAACCTAATGATAAACTTAGCAGAAGTTCTCCTAACGTTTTTTTCAAAATTTGTTTTAATCGAGCTTTCTCAAGTTGCGTAATTAATTAAGTTACCTGATTAAACAATCGTTATTTCACAAATCACGTATGCGCTTACGTTTTCTTAATTCTTCACGTAAAGTTTACCAAATACTTCGCAATTAAAACAGGACGCTCCGTAAATAATTGCCACGTGGAAAAATAAAAAATAAATAAATGAGACGATTATTTACTAAATAAGTCGTTTAACCTATTAATTATGTAACACACATTGTTGCTAAATACTATGAATTTATTTTCTACAAAGATAAATCATCCCGATTAGTGAACCGCCTCAAGTGGAGCACTACTGACCTAGAAAACAAACTGAACTAAATAGATTGCAACTGCGTTCGAAGAAGTGAATAACTCGTTCGCGAACTCCTTCAACAACCAACTACACGCAACGAAAATATTCTGCATAGTTGCACTATTTAAAGAGATAGCGAATAAAAGAACTTTTGATGATAATTTTAATCCAAATGTGCAAGAAAAATAAATGTATGCTATTTTATGACACTAGATTACACTTCCTGCGTATGCAATGACTGAACGGAATCACATAATCGCATTATCAGTTATTTAGAATACACCCAAGTAATTATGCTGCTTTTCGAGTAATCGCGAGCATTTTTTACATATCATCGATAAACTTTTGACGCACTGTAACAAGTGGTTAGATTTCCATGATTGGTATGCGCATTTTTCTCTTCGAGTAATAAACAGCATTGCAAAATGTTATTTGATATAATACACGTCTTTTAAATTATTCTTCTATTTAAGCCACGATTTGTAAAATTGGTCTCGAAATAATACAAGAATCAAATTTCGATTGAATCGTCATCGACCTAAGTTACTTACAGAAGTTCTATATCACGGATTTTTATTTTTCGAACGCACTGTACACACGTGCCTTCCACTCACCTTCGAGGCCATAAAATCTATCATAAATACTTCTTTGGTAACGCATCGTCCATGATCCGATCGAAAAATTAATTGATTTCTTTTAACACAAACATAGAAGCTCCGATGATGGGTAATTTTTTGAGATTCCAGCTCGATGAAGCAGTTCTATGGCGTCAGACGAAATTAGAGGCTAGATCGCGCGCGCGCGTTGGCTAATTGCAAGCGTCTCGACGCGACGCCGCAGCCGATCCTCAATTGCTTCCCGTCTCTGTCTTGCCTACTTTTTTCGATTAACTCCTATTGCACCGGCCGTTGCACGCACAAAGGGGGTCAGACACGCGTTCAACTCGATCCAGCCATCTTTCCGCCATGATTGACACCGTCCTCTCCTCTCTCCCTCTGGCGTAGTTTCCCGGAGTTTGAGACGGTCGACTGTGAATATCGTCGTTATTGGCACGAAGAGTTTCGCGTTCGTCACGCTGGCGGCATCTCTTTGTGGGAATCGTTCCGACTATTTTCTAATGTCCATTCATCGTCGACGATTCGATCGATCGATTTTTTCGGTTTGTAATGCATTTACTCGATGTCTTTAATTGTCTATAGTTCGAGAACGGTTTTCTTAATTTGGTCGAAAGATTCGTGCAGCTTTTAGTTATAGTATTTTTGCGGTAAATGAGAATTCCTTCTTGCGATTGGTCTTCGTAGAGCTAAGGTTAGGTAAGGGTTCGTAGTTGACTGGGATTGGTAGAAAATGATGTTAGGTTAGTTGTGCGTATTGACTGTGATTGATTTGAAAATGATGAAACTTCATTTATCAATATGAGAATGGAGAAAATTTAATTCTTTTCCCTAGAGAAATAGCAATTCGTAGTTTCTTACTTATGAAGTTAGTGACATTTTTCTTATCATAAAAATTTACTAGATTTTGAATAGACTTAATTGCAATTTTTATACGACTTACCAGAAATCGTGCATTCCACTAGGTCAGTACCCACCAAATGAAATTGGAAACAAACTTATCTCTCACAAAAATAACATTCCTGTCGTTAAAAATTTTCCAATGGCGTCATAATTAATACCTGATTACGCCTTCTACGTATAGTTATTTGCAATCATACATTCTTTACGCTGATATTGAATTATACTAAATCCAGAATTGGCGCATTGAAGAATTCAGTGTTAAAAATTCCATTTATCTCATGTCATTGTAATTCTTATAAAATATAAAACAATTATGTACATACATATAATCTCCACTTCGTTCCATTTTGCGTATACTAAGCCTCAATCTCCATTACTATATTCCTTATATCGATAAAAATATTATTATATATATTATGAATGATGTCTAATTTGGAAAATCTATTTTTAACCCTAAATTAATATACAGGAGTCTCCTTCCACCCTATTTCTAGAATCCTCATCACCTCATCCCGTACCTTACCCAGACGGATACCAAAATGGCGGATTCCAAACTTTCCCTCTTTACATTCACTGGGAACATACAAGTTAAGCGAAATTAATATTAATAATAACTGGAATAATAACATATTCTACATTTACATACATACTGTAGTCCATTAAGTCTAACATCAAGCGATATTACGACTAACCCAAATCCATCTTAACTATCCGATGACCCTAACCTCACTTTACTTCGAACTCGCCGCGAATCATCCCCGATTCCTCGATTAGGCGATGAACTAAACCTAAATAACCAAGCCGCGGCGAACGATCCGCTATCGAAGAAGAGCAATCGATCTCGTTAAACCCAAAGAGATAGATCCGATCGAACGTGCTGGTTGTCAAGAATGCTCGGGTCGTGTCGTTCGGGCCAGGACACATGATGGCGTCACGACTCAGACGTAATAATTTCATCCACACCTGTTCTTGTCCTCTATGTGTTCCCAACATCGATAATAACCCGAATCGAGCACGCACGGAACCCCGACTACCGGGTAAACAAACCCGATTGCAAGATCGGTCCGATGACACGTTCGGCCGGATAATGGCCGCGTTAAAAGTGCGAAGGACCGTGGTCGGTGCATGGAGTAGCCTAAGGACCGGCGGGTCGACGATATCGAGTGCTCGATCGTGTCTTGGTAAACGGTAGAATCGTTGTGCAAACCCAGTAGAAAACGTGGTGCAGATATGCGTGGCATTCATTTTGCGTTGTTCGCGGTGACTGTGGTCGCGGTCGCGGGGAATCCCTTGGACAACTCCAGGCAGTCCCTGCAGTGCAAGAACATCGCCAGGGACGTGATCATAAACAGCTGCAAGGGACCAAGGATCAAACGGTCCTTGGACCAGTCAGAACTCATGAAGATTGTCCAAGAGATGTCGAAGTTTGATCAGCCAGGTGGGCCATTTGGTTTCGTGCTTTTTCGAGACACGTGGTGAGGGTGTGAGGTATCTGGAAATTGAGGTTGGAGAGAACTCCAACCGTAGTTTCGCAAGGTCGAGTTGGGAGTGATTTCGGTGTCGTTGGGTTGTATATGTAGCAGAGTTCATTGGGTAGTTGGGTCAGGTCGAAGAGGAGAGGACTGGTAATTGTCGTTGATTGGATATATCGATAGGGAGTGTTGAAAAAGTAGCAGTTGATGGGATTATCGTTTATTGAACTTGCTCTTTGATCTCGTGCGGTTCTTGATCGAGAATTGGGATATTTGGGAAAAATTTATTAATGATTTATGAAGGATCATTCTTTATGAAGACCTGTAAAATATCAATTAACGTCTTATTGATGAATATTCTTATTAAGAATTAATAAATATATCGTGAGTACCTGTGGTGAAATGAAATTCAATTTACTGAAACAAGACAGAACAAAACAGTAAAATCAATTATATTATTTCAAAAAATATCTCACTCAAAAACTTCTTTCCTAAACAAGTAGTAGATCTCTGCGAAACTTCTACCAAAAATGGACAAATTTAGTAGTTTTCTGTTTCAAAGGATTCAGAAATACAAAAATAGGAAAGATATGAAGATTCAAAAAAATAATTCAAGATTCGAAAAATATTCAAAGAATTGGAGACGAAAATATTGTTAAAGGTGACTAAATAGATCGGTTTGTATTTTAGAATCGGTGGGGACAAATGACGACCAAATACAGGTGAAGCGAGACTACTACTTGCTGGAGCCTAGGACCGGCTTGCTTCCTCCCTTGGCTTTCGGACTTCCGGGACAGAGCTATATGCAGGACAAGTACCACCAATCCGAATTGGTCGTACCAGGCCTAGAATTCATGGACACTTCGTACGGAAGCATGGTACAACACGGCTACAGACCACCAATCCCTTATAGACCTGTAGGATACGGTTTGAGATCCATTGTAAGTTCGGCAAGTGACGATTGATGCGACTAACCGCGCGAAGAGAAATGAAAATTTTTAGTCGATGAGAGGAATATAAATTTTGGTCGATATTTAATTTTATTAATTTTCCGAGATAATTTAATTCGCATACGTTTCAATCCACATTCACGAATTATGATCCGAGACGATGCAACATCGTTGCATAATGGAAATGAAAGTGAGAATGAAATATGTCTAAGGTCTAATAGGTATAACATTGTAAGGTAAAAGCCGTTACGAAGAAAATTCCGATTTCCGAGATTATTTTAGTTCGATATGAATATTCAAGATTAGTGTAACAGGAGGTTTGCGTGCAATTAGGAATTGCTGTTCCCTCGCGAATTTTAAATGCCTTTGTGTGCCGTGTTGTACAGGGTTATGCTGTAATTAAGAACAGCGAGGAAGAGTAGAGGGATTCGTGGGATGGAGACATTTTTAAAAGCTATTTATAGTTCCGATAAGAGAAACGTTGTCAATGATAGAATTTAATGTAGCATTATAGTGAAATGAAAGCAATAAATCTTATTATCTCAATATCGACTTGTGTTGTTTATTATCTACAATTTTTCGATTTAAAAACGTCAACAATCTGAGATACTGGCCCAAAAGGAAGCAATTGTATTAGACGTACCTGACATTTAACGATAATCGAGTCACTCTTACGATCCATCGATTATCTTGCCTTTAATACTCGTTACTGTCTCTTTAGTTTCATTTTTCATCGAGTTGTAGAATAATAATAAAAAGACACGTAAGAAATAATTGAGAATCAGAATTAACAGAGAGCTATGCTATTCTACAGAATCCAGACGACCTTCTCGGCTTCAGCCTAAACGCGGAAGAACTGGAGGAACTGCACGACGAGATCGGCGACAGGATGCCTAGGAACTCGAAGGACCAGAACAAGAAAATCTTCCAATTAGTCGCTGCGAAATGCTGTCGAAACGAGAACTTTTGCTACGATCATCCAGACCTGATCCCTTGCATGGGATTTTAACACACTGCCAAAACTGTGAACGGAAAATTCAATATGGCGATCGTCAGAGTGCGATATGTACATAATCGAATGTACTTAAATTCTCAGAGTCTGAGAATCTTTAAGGAAATATAAATATTAGCCAAGTTGTATTTGCCTCAAACAAATTTGCGTCAACTATACTTCATTTTATCTGTACCTAACCTTACTTTCTACGTGCGACTTAACCTGACTCCATCTTTGCAAGTCTGAGTTAACAGTTAAGGTAAGTAAAGGGTTAACAGTTGAGAAATCCTATTGACAAAGTGTTTGAAATACACAAAGACCACCCTGTATATTGCTGTGCAAACACGATTACGGCAAAGCGACATTAGCAAACTTAGGTAAGACACAACATAATTCTATTTCAGACCAAGCATGTATCTGGTTTCACGATATCGGAATGTAAATATGGACGGTCATCACTTTTCACTTGCAAACAGGTTTTATTTATATTTAATTAATCGCAGTGTGTATTTACAAACAGATATTGCTACTGTTTGGGTATGCAGATGAACTATACATACCGACAGAGATGCATAAACAGTCGACGGTTCTGGTCCATGGCCAGTTATCGAGGAAGTAATCGAGTTCTAGTGTGGAATATAGTATAGAATATTTCTGTTCTTAGTTATTACATTACAAATCGAAGTATTGATAACTGACACGAAATATCCAGGTGCTAAAAGCGTTAGGCTTAAGGTAAATACGTTGGGTGTCCGGATAGCGACGAGAATTGGTGGGGATACCGCCGCGATGTGGAGGGGATAGCGACTGGGCCTGGTGGGGATGGCGTGGCGGACTGGAGGGGATAGCGACTGGAACTGGTGGGGATAGCCGCGGTTATTTAACATGGCAAGATCTAACGCCACAATACTGTGCTTGTTTCCTTAATTATTTTTTAAGATTAAGGCAGAAAACGATACGTTGATCTGTCAATGAAAATGCAATTTCAATTTCCGCTATAAAGCCGAAGATAATTTTACTCCAGGGCTATGACGTAAATTGAGAAATAAGAGGAACATTTAAGATTGAAATTTAAGCTTGTATCTCCTGATAAAACTACATAATATTATGTACTCTAACGAGATACGAAATTGTTCCGAATAAATCAATATATAACAAATTGGTAGAAAAAAATGCAAAAATACTTTAAAATAAAAAATACGCCACGCGACTTATGAATCACGTTAATCATTATACGATATGTATATATGTATATTCCAACAGGTTTATACACACAATAATTTTTACTTTCCAGTTTTCTATAATAAAACTACAATTACAGATATGAAAGTTAAGAAATATTAAAAACAATAATAACAATTTTATATTAAATATTAAATATTAATAAATAATTCCAATACTAATCGACGCTAAATGGAATAAAAATATATTTAAAAATCAAATAATATCATTAATTCCTCTCATTTTTTCTCCGAATAAAGTAAAAATATTGCATTGGTAGCTTACAAATACTCATTTTATTTACACGAAATTAATACATCACCATCTATGTACAAGCATCCAGCGCGACTAATACAACAATTTTTATTTCCCTTTCCTTGACTCCGCCCTGACCGAGAACCCGATCGAGCAAACCTCCATTCGATCGGATCCTCGGGGATCATCGATCGAAGATCGGACGATCTTCGTCGCGCTCGCACGCCTCGAGTGTTCGGGGCCGAAAGTGCACTCGCACGGAGAATCGCGAGAGAGACGATGTCCCGTAGTGGGTTTGCTACTATCATCCAATTTACAAGAGAACCGTGTGCAGCGGTTAATGGCTGTCGGAATAATGGGCGGCGTGCAGGTAGCGATGGGATCGAGACGGACTCGGACCACGTCTCGTCCCAACCCCTTCCTCTTTCTCATTTTTCATCTTCCTTTATTTTCTCCTCCCTTTTTCCCCCAACTTTCTTTCCAA